CATGACGCGTGTCAATGTTCAAGTTCTTGACATATTCAAAATTATTCATAATTCTGTTTCTTAGGTCGGATGTGAGGTCCGATGGACAGCCCAAAGGTAGAATAGAGATTGCGACTCATTCCTTTACTCCGACGGAGGTTGACACTCTACGCTCTATACTCTTAGAGAAGTTTCATATCCATTCTACTCGTAATGCCCAAAATCAAGCTAAAGAGCAGTATATAATACGAATACCTAAAAGAGAGGTTACCAGAGTGCAGGAGCTTGTGAAACCTTTCATACCTTCATCGATGGCCTATAGAGTAGGCCTGCCTTCTTCTTAACTTTGTTGTTTTGTTTTTTGACGCTTGAGTACAGATCCCTTCAAAACTCCCCCCCCTTACCAGGTCTCCTCACCTTGTCGTGGTGGTAGGGCGGGCTACCGGGCTACCTTCTCACTAAGAAGGAGACATTTAGTTATGGCTCTCATAGTAATTCCTGATCAAATAAAAGAGGAGCTACTTTAATGGGTTCTATTGACCTTCTGCTGTCCTTCGCTCTAGTGCCTCTTCCTCTACGGGTGGTAACTTGGAGGACGAGGAACACCCTCACGCAAGCGGCTCACCCAGGCACAGAAAACAACAATATCGGAACAACTTGATAATAATAAAGAGTTACAAGGTATAATAACAGGAATGGAATTGGGTGATGGAAATTTGGAAATGAATGGCAATGAGGCCCGAATGCGATTTCACCTAAAGGATCAGGCCTTTTCGATTTTTCTTTGGACCCTCTTTGACTCTATCGGTATTGTAGGGGCACCACCTAAAGAGACCTCTAATTATCATAAGGTCACAGGTAAAACCTATACTGCTTATCAATTCACTACCTTTACATTACCCTGCTTCACTTAAATTCATAAACAGTGGTATCAAAATGTAGATGGCAAAAATATCAAGGTTATTCCTTCTAATATCGCTGAGTTTTGAACTCCTATTGCTTTGGCTTATTGGCTCAGCGGCTGCCGGCTGCGGTCTGACCCAACGGGTTGGACGACCGCAGGAGCCGTAGCCTTATCAGGACCGGCACCGGACGGACATTATTGCAAAACTACAGGGAGAATCACAATCGCAACGAATTAATTCACACCAGCTGAGGTCGACCGCTTACGCACTATTCTGTTAGAAAAATATGGGATCGCCTCTACTCGGGTTTTAGCAGGTAACCCAGGCAAAGACCAATACTTCATTCGCAGACCTAAAAGGGAAGTTCCCAAAGTCCAGGAACTAGTTAAACCCCACATTCCAAGTAAGATGGCCTACAGAGTAGGACTATAGCCTTTGACCCCTCTACCTCTTTTTCTTTTCTTAACCCTGGTGCTAGGCATAGCCCCGAACCTGATTCTTGACAGTATCCACTTTTAAGTTTCGAATCTTCTTTATAGCCCTTCATTTTATCTACTTAACTTCCAAATTCCCCCACCCCCCCCTACCGGGTTGGCCTGACTTCCTATTCCTCTCCTTATTCTGTTCTTAAGGACTGCTTGGGTTCTATCCTGAGCACCCTCGCACTGGGGCTGGAACTAAAGACCCTAGCTGTTGGTAGCTATTGCAGGTCCTCATGGCCTTCAATGAAGGCCCCCTCGAGCTAGGCTTTAAGGAAGGCTTTATCTTTATTCTCTCCTCTGGTTTCTTTATGAGCCCATTATTCTTACTCAGAGTTCCTTATCTTGATTTAGCTATTTATTCCTTGTCAAGTTTCTTATGTCCTCAAAATCTGAGGGTTGTCCTATTGTCAGGGCTCCCCTTAATTTAAACTGATAGTCGGGTTAGCTTAATGGTAAAGCCTTCGTCTTGTAAACGAAAGATAGTGGTTCGACTCCACTACCCGGCTGGGAGAAAGTAACCTATGGGTTCAACTTCCTGTGTATGGTATTACCAGCAGCTGATTCCCTGTACTTGAGTGGAGTTGCCCTTGGGCGTTCCTAAGGCAAGGGAACCCTGTTGTTTAACCGGTTCTGGCCTCTCACCACCGATGCGTATTTGTTTGGCAGGCCACTCATCTTATAGAGCGGGGGGGGGAATTTGGAAGTTATTTCCTGAACAATTGCCCCCCCCCCCTTACCAAAGCACAAAAGGCTCATTTGGAATCACTTTCATTCTATAGGTGTCCATCATTAAGGGGCATTAAGACCTGGCGAGACAATTTAAACCATCACCATCCCAGTTGCCATTACCTTCTAGGGGTAGCCCATTTGATACTGTTGAGCGACAGCAAATGTAATGTTATGCTTTAGCCTGGACAACCCACCCCAAAAGGCACGGCTCCTCACGACCCTGCAACAACTGGTGTGGATACAACCTTGTGTTGATACGACCGGGAGTTGCAGGGTCTGCGCGGTCTAACGGCTACCGGCACAGCCGTGGTTGGAGTCGGCCCTTGAGCGGGATAAACCCGACCACTGCTAGTTCCCCCGGATCGGGTTACTGGAGTAATTGTTAAGGTTACTTGAAGTTAAGAGGAGCTACTTTAATGGGTTCTATTGACCCAATCCCTCCCTGTAGCCGTAGTAACCCCTGCTAAGGTTGAATTTAATATCAAATCCAGTCGTAAAAAGGTAGGTTTTGTGAGGAAACTGGTAGCCCTGCTGAATTTAAAATTCAGTGCCTTGTGCGTGCGGGTTCGATCCCCGCCAAAACCACTACCCTTCCCTACATTGCTACTTGTCAGGGGTATATTCGGCTTTTGTGCCACCTTCTCGCTCTGGGCTACCCTTACTTTCGTAAGGTTCACTACACGTCTAGTCGAACCGGTGATCACTTGTGTTTTGGTGCCAGAGCTAAACTCTCTTGGATTTCTACCCCCATTAAACCACCAGCACCTTTAGCTCAATTGGATAGAGCGACGGTCTTCGAAACCGTAGGTTATTGGTTCGACTCCAATAGGGTGCTCAACCTACCCTTGTTACCCTTCCCAGTATAACCGTTAGGAAAAGCTAGTCCAAATCGCGCTACTTTCTGGGGCGCCTTTTAAGCTAAACAAAACGAGGGGGCAATTTTGAAGGAAATTCATTATTGAAAGCTGTGAAGAAACCCAAGCCAAGTAAGAGGTAGTCCAAGAGGACTCAATATAATGACAGGTCAGAGAAGGAAAGGGAGTCATAGGCCAATCCGCTACCGCATTAAAGGGGAATGTGAGGCGACACTAGGCCCTGTAAGGTAGCCATTGAGGCTTTAGCAATCCGTATAATAGGTAATCCCTTATCGTAATTAAGGGTAGAGCTAATCTCGAACTTAGTTAATAGAATATCCCGTAGGGTGTTAACTTCCTTAACAGTGAAAGAGTTAGTCAAAATTGTAGTAACGCCGTCTCGCTTATTGTAAGAGCCGTCCGGTGCCGGTCCTGATAAGGCTACGGCCCGGCAGTTTTCGAGGGCTTTTACCTTTAAGCTGGGGGTTCTGGTTTAAATCCTCACCAGAATTCATAGTAGCATAACACCTAATTTGACCGGCCCCTGAAAACTTCCAATTAAGAGACTTATAAAAGAAGCAGCAATTTGAGGACCTCAATCCAAGTACCGATACATTGTTTAGGAGTGTTTCCTTCAATATAATCAATAATGCACATAGAAAATCAAGTATATGCAGCCTCAATAAAGATCCAGAAAGTCGTAGTGCTCCAAAGTCTTTTAATTCCAATATCTGGAATCTGTAGTCCTGCAGGAACAATAATCATAAGGGATCGAGGATTATCGATAAGATTAGCCAACAAGGAAGAGTGGTAGCACTGCCAAGTGCAACTCAAGTCAAGAAGAAAAGCCCCTCGGATTTGTCAAATTGCACCCCAGAATGGTATACGGATAGCTACTGTGTCGAGCCGGCGAGCCTCACCTACCAATACCACCGTATACAGATAGACTCAGATGTAAAATCCTTTATAATAAAGAGCAGATTCAAAGAAAAGCGGAAAAGCTGGTATTTCAACCAGCGGCATTGCTGCCTGAAATCAAAAATGATGTTAAGCATAATGACAGCTGTTTCGCGGACGCTCATAAGATTATGCTCCCATCCATAAATAAACCCATAGAAACTCAACTATGACAAGTTCAATCTCAATGAAAATAAATGGCCTACATTCCGCTGTACAGCTCGTTGCGGATAGCACTGTTATTTCCCCTTCAGTCTCTGGGATTTTCAATTTGAAATTTGTTAAAGGCTTGATTATAAAAGATAAGAGAATTAGCATAAGTGAATGGTTCGGTGTTAATTATTAGTCCCCAGGAGTCAAGCTATCAGTGCAGAGCAGTACCACCCCTTTGTTAAAAGTAAGCATCCAAGGCACACAAGAAAGCAACAGGAACCAACAGTCAGCAGGCCCCCTATGTTACAAGGTAAAACCTTCACGTTCTTGTTGGGTCCCGTCAACATACCGATACCACTGCTTCTTAAGTTCAGTAAAGAAAGGCAGAGTTCAGGTAGCAAACCGAGTTGATGTGTGAGTCTTACCGGTTCTTTGATTCTATACACCTATAGAATCAAAGAGAATCCAAATAAGCTGAACATACTCTGCATCCTTTTGCTTAATTTTGAAACGTGCATTGTGTCCCATCATGCTAATAAAGCCATCCCTTAGAAGCATACCTGTAATGCCTTTACTCAAAAGAGAAAGCTGCCGGGCCGTAGCCTTATCAGGCCCGTCCGCCCGCCCCCGCAAAGCCAATAAGCGAGAGCCACAGGGGTCAACAGTTGTAGTATATCGGGAGGAAGAACCTTCATGTTTGTTAATCCACCTTTTGATACCATCGGGAGTGAAGTTTAGTGAAGTAGGGAAGAGTAAAGGTTGCAAACTGATACGAAGACGTAGATTTCCCAGTCCGCTTATCAAAAGAGGTCGCACCCATCTTGAACCTTTTAGCCTAGGACCTTTGAGATGAGCCTTGAAACCTTTTAGACTTAGCGAGTGAGCGTTTACCTTACTACGGATTTTCAGTGAATTTATTGCTATGTCGTGGAGCTTTAGCGACCTGTTCCTATCTATTGCCTATTGGCTTTCCTTACCCTACCCTTGAACTGGCTGAATGAGCTTAGGAGTTGATTTGGGAGAGGAGTCGCCTACGGGCGACGAGTCGCCTACGGGCGACGAGTCGCCTACGGGCGACGAGGAACCTTTGGACCTCCCGATGATTCGATTATTGGCCTGGCCTTGAGATTTTTAACAGTTTGACCCACTTAACCTTGATGGATTTGAGCAATGAGTAGCTTAGAGAAGAGCTTGCCCTATTAGCTTTGCCTTTGCCGGACCTTTAGACTGATGAGTAGGTTGGGATGAAGAACCCTCGATTAAGTGACCTACTTAGTTGGGCTTTAAAAACCTCTGAGCTTTGTAGAGACATGATAAAGGAACCGATTTCAAGTTAAGGCTTGACTTAGTGAGCGAGCATTAAACCTGTTTAGTTTCAGACTTTAGGGAAAGCTAGACCTAGTCAGAGCGATCGTTTGGGCCTAGTTGAGGAGGGGTTGAAAAACATGCAGCAACTACCAAACTGGTATGGAGTTGATCGGATTGGGACCTGTGAATATGTTTAAGACTTGACAGAAAACTTGCTAATTCTTGGACTGGTTGATAAGCTTTTGAGCCTTGAGATAACCTACTTAACCTTGATTAGGTTGGATGACTGAGTGAGCTTTACCTTTTGAGGCTTAGGTCGGATGAAAAACCTGAGACCTTTGAGAGCCCTAGATCAGAGTTGGCTTTTATAGCTGCCTGAACCTTTGGGAACTTGAAAGCCTGTGAGGAACTACCTTGGATGCCCTCGATAAGACTCTTTAAGGCCTTTAGATCTAGTTAAGAGAACCTTTGGACTATTTGGGATTGTATCTTTAGAAACCTTTAAGACCTACAAAACACTATTGGAGGTTTGATTAGTCCTGCCTTTTGTTGCTATTTCCTTTTTCCCTTACCTCCTCTCCTCCACCTTCTAGACGGACCCCAGTAAGTGGCTAATTACCTTGTTTTACTTTGGCTGGGTTGATTACTATCCTTTCCCTTTTTATGTTGACTTTCTCTATCTTCCTTGCTTCGAGGTTAGGAACCATTAATTTCCTCCCAAATCCTCCTGATTAAAGGTAGGAAGATTAACCATCATAGCTGCCTCGAATACCTAACCTAGCTTTCCTCTTTTGATAGATTGCCCTACCTGCCTAGCCCTGTTTAACTGACTATCCTCCTTTTTGTTTGATTGCTTGAAGAAAGAATAGATGGATAGCTATACCTTTTTCCTAGCCTGCTTGGGCCTTTGAAGGATACTTAATTTTACCTCGTTTACCTAGAAGATTTGCCCTGGGTAGCTTAGACTGACCCTTTCCATTCCATGGATTACCGGATTAACCTCTCCTCCCTCCTTGGTTTAATGAACCTTTGAAGGAAGGTAGGATTCTCTTCCCCCTCAATCCCCAGATTTAGATGATTGGACTTACCTCGATGGGAGCCTCCCTGATTTTACCCTTGATGGCCCTTTCCATACTTTGTTTTAGTTTAAGCGGGTTTAACAGTAGTTTTCTAGCCTTTCCCTTTAATTGATCCATATAGACATAGAGCAGTAACAAGCGCAGCCTTTCCATTAGAATTAGAAACTCTACTAGATTCAGTATATAGTGTACAGCTGAGGACCTCCCCATTGTGAATCAAAGGATCAATTTATCAAATTGAACTAGATGGTGAAACATTAATAAACAATCGAAGTTGGCCCAGTTATGAACATAGTCAACTTTAGCTGCGGACATTGGATGTCCTCTATTGTTCGATAAACCATTTCGGTCTCTGAGTCTGTTTGAGGCCCGAAGATGAGTTCGAAGGTTTAGAATCGTGAGAAACAGTGAGACAGGGCAGGCTTAGAAAAGTAGAATAGGGAGAACCTGGAAGACCCGCGGACCAGCCAGAAGAGGCAGAAATACAGCCAAGAGCAAAAGAACGGAGCCCACGGAAAACAGTAACCACCAGTTAGAGGGTGAACAAGAAGATTAGCAAGAGGTAAAATCACAATTCTGTGTGCCCGTGCCCTTTATTTAAAACCAATGCGGAAGCGAAAAAGGAAAACCACCCTTACCTTTAAAGCCCCACCCGGAAAGTCATCGAAGAAGGCATATGTGCTTTAACTAAGGATTGAACTTTACCCACTTGCCGCTTCGGTATGCCAATAATATACTGCCCTTTAGCTTTGTTTTGAGCCACAGAATCAGTTTCGATACCAAAACTATCCAAAATGCCCGAATGGACCGAACTCGATCACGCGTACCACTACGAAGGCTACTCCTGCGTAAGAGGAGATGTATCCTATTATCAGTTTGACTCCCTCAAACGCGATGGATTGCTTCCAGGTGTTACATACAATGGTTATCTTACATTACTAGGTCAACATCGTCGACACGTCAACCCTGCTGAGCCCTCCCGGGGCACCCAAAATCGTTCTTTTTTTGCAATCCCTAATTGCCCCAGCCTCAGTCTTAGAACCTCGCGAACTCTCAGTAGTGTCTCAGACTTAGACACTCAATCATGCTCTTTCTCCACTAGTGCCCTAATTAAGGCAGGAGATAGGACAACCTATCCAAAACCTGACTTTACAGATATACCCAAATCCAAATGGTCCACACATGTCATAAGTCATCTCCTAGATGACAAATTCAAGTCCGAACTAGAATCAATCATCCGGGGTTTAAAGGCCAATACGTTCCATGCCATCTATGTCACTTTATTTGGGAAAGGTCAGTATTACTCCCTAGGAAGTCAGTTCATCATAAATAATCAAGCCGATTTAGGTAAGATAATGACCCATTTACATAACCAATATGAGTTACTACAGAATCGCTATGACTTGAGTCCAACTAGCCGTAGTCTAGTCAAGGTAAGAGAGCTCACAGGATATTCAAGTAAAGTAAACGAGTTCTTTTTTGATAGAATGGAGACGTATCCATTTACTCAGCCCCACAAGTCCAGTGGAAGTATAATGAATGAACAATATTATCCGTACATCGATCTCAGCGCATTGTCTATAAATAAAATAGAAGGGCTTCAAATCGTTGAAGAGAGCGCATTACATGTCAAATTCCTGTGGGTATCAGAGGGAAGGACGTACTTTGTAGAGTACGACAAAATAATGCGTCAAGGAACCAGCTCAAACATCGATCGTCAGATACCATTTTCAGATACAGAATTAAGTAATGGTTTAATAAAACGGAGTTCGCAAGGATTCGAAATCGTAAGCGTAGGATTCTATACACGTAGTGCAACAGGTGAACCAATCTCCAAATATTACCAAATAGACAAGTATACTAGCCTAGGTGCAATGCTTGAGTCAGTATTTAAAGATGTAGAAGAAACAGGTGTCAAGTACGTGTACGTCCACAATTGGGCAGGCTTCGATTCGCTGTTTTTACTTAAGTACCTACAAGCCCACTATGAATTAAATCCGTTTACGTTTGATGGCCAAACGCTGAGTCTCAGAGTGTATAAAAAAGGTGCCAAAAAACTCACGCAACCCCTTTATACGATAAAGGACTCGCTGAAACTATTACCGCTCTCGCAATCCACACTCACGCACTCATTCGCAGTGTCCACGCAAAAGGGTATATTTCCCCATTACTTCGACCCGCGAGAACACACGTTGGATGGTAGCATCAACTATCTGGGTTTATTACCGTCGTACGAATATTACGAACCAAAACGTGTAAGTCCCTCTGCCTATGCCGCACTTGCCCAAGAGTATAGTTCACAACCGTGGGACTACGTGAAGGAACTCGAAAAGTATCAGATGGACGACTGTAAGTCGTTACATGAGGTGCTAGACAAGTACACGACTCTCACTTACCAAACCCTAGGAATCGATGTTCATCAAAATCTATCAATCCCAGGCTCAACTTATAAGCTGTGGCAAGGTCTAGAGAACCCAAAACTACAAAGCCAAGGTCATGATGTATATAAACTACCAAGAAATGTATCAAACATTATTCGAGATAGTTACTATGGAGGTCATGTGGACGTTTATATGCCTTATGTAGAATCCAACGGCAATTTCACCTGGCATCACTATGACGTAAACAGTTTATACCCGTACGCAATGCTAAACCCGTTGCCAACAGGTAAGCCCACATATGTAAAGTATCCTTCATGGGATAACAATTTTTTCGGATTCATAAACTGCACAGTAACGTGTCCGGATACGATTCCGTATCCGACGTTACCGATACGTCAAGATCACACAGTGATCTTTCCGTCCGGAACCTTCACTGGAACGTGGTTCAGTGAAGAGTTAAGAAATGCCGAGGCAAAAGGTTACAAAATCGAAGCAAGCCATTGGGGTCTAACTTTTAACAAAACTGAGGGTCTCTTCACAACACTGATAAATACCTTAAATAAAATCAAAGTCAATAGTAGCAGCGGTCCGACCAAGAACCTCGCTCTCCGAACAATCAGTAAGTTATACATGAATAGTTTGTATGGATACTTTGGTCTCCGCGATACAAGCGACACAACAGGATACTATGGTGAAGGAGAAAGTGAAGAAATCCACCTTTTATACAAGGTTAAAAAAGTAATCCCATTTGAAGATGGAAGTGAAATGATAACCCATTCTCGCCTACCTATATTAGACTCAATCGAACTATTCGATCCCGAAAGTAAACATTTAAAAGACCTCGAGGGAGAAGAGGAGGGTTTACAAGTCAACGTATCGATAGCATCCGCAATTACTGCCTACTCCCGAGTGCTGATAAATGAGTACAAGTACCAAATCCACGCACGAGGTGGAAAGGTAGCATATTCAGATACGGATTCGCTAGTAACGAATATCAAACTAGACTCAAGCGCAGTATCAGGAACAGAACTAGGAAAAATGAAACTTGAAAATGAAATTACTAGAGGATATTACCTAGCGCCTAAGCTCTATTATGAGTCTATCCCCGAAGGTTCTCCGGTTATCAAATCACGAGGATATGGGAAACCTTTAACAGAGTCGGATTATGAAAAAATGTATCAAGGGGAAACGCTAAACCTAACAAAGGACAAGTGGTTCCGTCTAAGCACGGAACACCGGGTTCAAATTAGAACTGTCACTCTCACGCTACGTAGCGTGATGACCAAACGTGAGAAGGTGTACGATCCGACAACAGGAGCATGGACAAATACCCGGCCCCTGCGTCTAGCAGAAGCAGCACCAATTACAGAAATGCTTGGAGTTATAGCTCCAGAAGGAGCGCCAACTCCCCTAACCCCACCCCCGGTAACAGTAGATAGAACCATTATAAATAGAGCAGTAACTGAGGTCCTTGAAGCCGCTGAAAGACGGCATACTGAAGCACTTGAGGCTCAACGTATTAATACTTAAATTCTTCTGAAGGCTCAAGAGAAGAGAGATACTGAATCACTGGAGACACAACGGATAGCAATGGAGGCTAAAGACGTGCGGCATCAAGAACATCTTGAAGCCCAAGAAAGACGGCACTCTGAGGCTATGGCTAAACAAGCAGCCCAATTGCAGGCCAATATGGCAAAAGAATCAGCAGCTAGAGAAGCCAAACTTGAAGAAATGATGGCTAAACAAGCCTCCGATGCGGCTGCTAGAGAAGAAAAATTGGAGGCCCAAGCAGCTGTGATGGCTCAAGATGCAGCCAAACTTGAAGAAAGGTTGGCTAAACAGGAGGCCCAAGCAGCTGCAATGGCTAAAGAAGCGGCTGCTAGAGAAGCTGCGGTGGCTAAGCAAGCAGCTGCGAAGGCTAAAGAATCTGCAGCTAGAGAAGCTGCGATGGCAAAACAATCAGCAGCAAGAGAGTCTAAACTTGAGGCCAAGATGGCAAAACAATCAGCTGCTAGAGAAGCCAAGATGGCTAAGCAATTAGAAAAGATGGCTAAGCAAGTAGAAAAGATGAATAAGGGAGCGGCCAAGATGGCAAAACAATCAGCAGCAAGAGAAGCCAAACTTACTAAACAAATAGCCCAGCAGGCTAAACAAATAGCCCAGCAAAATAAACAAATAGCCCAGCAAAATAAACAAATCGCCCAATTACAGTCTCAAAATAAGGCCATCTTAGACTTATTACAGTCTCAGGCTCAACAAACCGCTCCAACCGTAAAAGGCCGAGGCAAAGGCAAAGGGGGTAAAAAATGAGCAAAACAAAAAGGAGGTAAACCGTGGCACTAGATTATGGCATAATCTTTTGTCCTTCAAAAGTAAAGCGTGTAAAGCCTTAACGGGCAATAGACAGTAACGAACCGTTATTATATTGCGACAGTATCAAAAAAGGTAAATTCAATCTCAGTGACGGGCCATGGCCCTAGAGATGGTTTGTAATACTGCAGTAAGCCAATCTCTATTAACAATGCTGTTCTATTAACGCCGGGTGTGTGCTAAAGTAAAAAGCTCTAAACATAGCCATGGATATGTTATATCTTAATCTTACAATGGTTCACGCCCGTCCTACAACCGTCCCCACTTTAAACGTCCAATTTTGCTCTATTTTGATGAAATTCTGTAAAAATCCAATATGTCGAATAGTCTGGTCAAAATAATCACTCAAATTTTAATAATAGGCTAATTACCAATAAAGTAGGTAAACCTTCAAATAGTGTCAAATTTTGCCCAATCAAAATCAAAAAACAAACAATCTTCTCTATATTCAAAACCTAAATATTCTAAGGGCCTGTGGCCATGCCCTCTGGCCGGGCGGGCCCAGGTAGGTATAAATAAAATGAAATAACTGAATAATTTCAGTATCACCATGAATTTCCTAGAATCCTAGACCCAATTCATAAAATTAAACCTTATAACAATGCAAATACTTCAATAATTCAATTCAATTAGGTTAATAACATATAGATTTAAAAAATTACAAATCACTTTCTTAATTTCCAGCAAATTATGTGGTACTGTATCCCCCCTTTTTTTAAGGAAGAAGCCTGCCAGCGGTGTCCCTGATGGCGTTTGCCTAGGTCCTTTGACTGTCCTACATATACCTTATGGGGTTGAGACTTTAATCGGTAAATATAGACCCCACTTTTACCTTGGAGCTCTTTCTCATAATCGGGGCTCTGCCCTTCACAGTCGATGGGATACCAGCCTGTTCAAGTTTCTATATTTGACCACTACTCCTCCGGGTCTATAAATTCACTGGGCTCCCTAGACTCGGGGTCAGAGTCGGGGTCTGGATCTTGATCAGAATTAGTAAGTTTGGCTTCTCTTGCTGCTGATTGTTTTGCCATCTTGGCCGCTCC